TATATATACTGTATATATAATTTCATTGTAATATAAAGGAAAAAAAAAACAAAGCAAGTAAGACAGAAAAAGGGGGTCAGAGCCATGGTGTGGAGTGGTCAACAACTCAGCTGTTGCACATGAATTCATCCTCAATTTCTTGGCTGAACCTAAGGCCATGTAACCATAGCCTCAGGATGGTGCATGGAAAAGTGCCAGCCTGGTGTCCACACCATCCTGGTATCTGAAAATGTAACCTGAAAGCCCGCTCTGCTTGAAGACAGTCCAGGTGAACCCTTTATTGACACATTTCCTAGTTCATTACAGTGACTTTAACCATTTCAGTTAGGTCTCCATCACTTGTTCTGACAACATGTGATCTCTTTATGAAATAAAAACACCAAAAAACTTGCACTCACATCAAAAACCCTGAAGGTGCGGGTCAGGTCTGTGGTCCTCCACAGTCACTCTGAAACATTTCATTGGAGAGATCTTGTATATACATGCATGCTCACAACCGCACTCAAACAGGTGTTTACATCCTGGGCTCTCCATTCAGACACTGACAGAATGGTATGTGCATATGGGTATGTATAAACATACATATACATATATGTGTGTACTGTATGTGTATATGTATAGAGCCAAGATGTCGGGTGTGCTGTCTTGTGTTTTCTCGATATATATTTCACATATCTTCTAATCTCTCTTTCACTCTTCCTTATTACATTCACTTTTTTCTTTCTCTTTCGTTTTCTCCTTAAAAAAAGCCACTGATGATGAAGAAGCTAAGATACTAATATTCAGATATTCAGTTCTGCTTTCTACTGAAGTGGCAAAAAAAAAAAAAAAAAAACCCTKAARGKGCATGTGCCTTTGTAAACTTAGCTCTTTGTTTTGGGTTACATTGAACCAGATTCAAACACAATGCAGACAAAAAAAAAAAAAAAAAAACCCTGAAGGTGCATGTGCCTTTGTAAACTTAGCTCTTTGTTTTGGGTTACATTGAACCAGATTCAAACACAATGCAGACTCACTGGAAGGTGCAGCGCARGCCGGGGTGGAAACTTTTGGAGGCCCCCAGCCCTTCATGTTGTATGCTTGCACTTGTACATAGTAATAAGTTCCCTGGAACAACAGGAAATAAGACAGTTAAGACATTATTTTGTGGTGATTGCAGTTACTGTATCACAGTTCACATGTATACAAACCTAATGTTTATTTAAAGGCACAGCCATAGCCAGTATTATGAATGGGGTGTTGTGCCCAACAAGCAGACCCTACCTGTCACTGTGCTTAGTTTGTACACAGCAATACTCTGAATTAATCAAATCAGCCACCAACATTTATTGAGCTTGCCTTGACCTTTGTCTTGTGACAGGAAAAGGCTTTAAGGGCTTTCCATATTTCAACAAGAGGTGATGTAATTTGAGACTGTCTTTTTCGCATGGACAATGTATTTGCTAAAGAGAGTGAGCAAGCAGTCCTGTTAAGCCCTCCTACTGTTCTTTCACTGCGACACTGGCCACGTGCAAACACAGTCAACCCAGACAGCACGTTTGGCTAAGGGGATTGTTATTTCAGTTGATGATGGAGGAGCTGAAGGAGGAAGATGGGATATTTATTTTATTAAATGAGGAGAAGTGCTATTYTGTTAATTTGTATTAAAGAATGCCACTATTTCTGATAGACAGTAAAGGAACATATCCCTAAACTGTCCAGCTGTCCAGTACCTCTTGGTCTGCACCGCCACGGCTGCCTGGGGAACAGGCACTCTCTCTCAGTTCGCACAGCCATGGAGCCATGGAGAGTTGGGCTGTCTCCTCCATGCACAAAAACGGTTCCATCTCTTTTCACATGGTCTTTATCTTTACCAGTTTTATTTGACTATCTTTATCATTTTCGTTGGAACGGCTGTAATGGTGGCTGTATTTCCCAACAGCCTTAGCCAGCAGATCCTCAGCAGATGCTCATCACAAAGATCAGTGCACTGCAACCACTTTTCATAAGCAAAAACGCCCAAGGAGAAAAGTTTTCACCACGCAGTGCATTAATGAGGCATACTTTCTGCGTCTAAATTAAGGGGCTGCATCCTTCGAAGGCCAAATTCGAAAACCGATTATGTCACAGCGAAAGCATCTTCAATTGTGGCCCACAAATGCATCCTCCTTTTCCCCCAATTTGAGGGACGTATCCTTCAGAGCCCACACTATCCCAAAATACATTGCGGGTCGACCAGAAAAATTCTTTGCTTGTAATGGCAGACAAAGCAAACAGGAGACAGGAATACAGCTTTTTTTAAAAAAATCTGAAAAATTTTAAAGTTTCATGCAGTTGTGTTGTTGGGCTTTCGTCATTTGCATACACATTTTTTTTATTATTCTTATTCTTGTCAGAACTCATAGTGAGCTGGTGGGTCCATCAGTTCTTCGTGAATTGACTCTAAGCTAATTTAGTAAATTTATGGTAATAATAACGTTAATATGTTAATATTTTGATCATTTCAATCTATGTATGATCTTCATAGCTTCTGTTTAGTACTGTCACAGTTGCCAGGGGACTGGACATACGCCGGGGCAAAGGTGGAAATAAAGCTTAATACTACATCGTCCAAATTCACAGCCACTTTATTCCAGTCACCACAGTTGACAAAGGACCGGGACCATGTAGACCAGGGTGGCCGAGTCCTTCAAAGGATGCAGCTCTTGAATTTTGACACAGCCCTTGTCTAATACCTCATGGGATATAAATAGGCTTTAGGCAGTCATATAGGAGGGGAAGGGTTTCTCTCAAACACTAAAAAACTACAAATGGAATATCCGTTTGTCACATGTTCACTTAGCAATCCCAAACATATAACAGATGACAGGCTACCAAGCTGCTTTATTTTTTAAAACAATTATTAATCATTCTTAATTAATCAACAACAACAAAAATTGTCACATCAAGAATTTTGGACTGACTGTTACTAAAACCTGTATGTACTGCTTTTTTAATGTAAAAAATACATCATACGGGAAATGCCTATTAAATGTTACCCAAATGATTCAAACTTGTTTGTATAGTCACTGAGGGCCCTTAGTTGGAAGAAGAGCTCCTAAATGTTTTACTGGCTTGCAACAACAGCTGGAGAACCCACAGATTAGCTACTTTCTGTAAATTTTCTTAGCTATAAACTGCCATATAAAGACTTATTGCATCTATTTCATCTTGTAGGGGGGGGGTGGTGCACAACTTGACCAGGTTCATGTGGAAATGGTTTGGTCTGTCAAAGTTTGTTGTCCAGACATGTAGAGGAGACTAAATGTACATTGATGCAAGTGCTTACTCAAATAAAAAAAGAGCTTTTAACAGTGAAGAAACCTTCTTTGTGAGGGTTGTTACGATGTAATTCATACCAGAAATCTGAACAAAAAAAAGTTAAGGTCAGCAGTTTAAAATATCAATAACGCGTCGGAGAAGGAGAACTTACAGATGCCAGTCCAGTTATGTTGCACTGTAGAAGCGTGGTGTCATCCACTACAATTTCACCCAGCAGAGGACTGAACAAAGGTACACTGCTCCAACTCACTTCAAATACATGCAAACATTTGGATTCATGAGGTGAAAACACACAAATTGCTGAGATATTCAAGAAACAGAAAGACACTTTCACATTTAAATTCTAAATAACATTTTTTTGCCATCATACAGTACACTAATTAAAAATATTATTATAGTAACTTGTTTGATGTAAACAAGGTAATGGCTGACCTTTATACTTGGTAACCACAGCAGAGTTGACACAGAGTGGTTCGTGGAAGTCAACCTGTAAACTTTTGCTGCTGCTGACAGAGAGGCGGACTACGGTGGGAGCGTCTGGGGGGTCTTGAGACACAAGAAAACAGAAGTAAATAAGCAAAAAGATAAAAAGCTCAAGACACAATATGTTAAAACTATTACAGCAAAGTGACAACATAGCCTTACTAGCATGTTCAAAGCCCGTCTGCATGCGTCTGAAGAGCCGTAGCCTCCACTCCCAAGCTTTCAGCTGCCTCTCCTGGTCAGAACCTTCCCGTTCGCTGGGACCCTCATTGCGCAACTGGGCCTGAAGCTCTGAAACCCGCTGCTCAGCCTCTTGCACCAAGGTAGCCAAATGGACAGCTCGGCCTTCCAAACTCACAACTATGAGCAACATGGAGGCGAATGAGAAAGTTAGCATCATTGTGTTTACTAAAGCATATTCTAAGATTTAGCAAAATATATTTTAACTCAGTGAACTATGATGTCTTGAACATGACTGCTTTAATGTGTGTTTATTCCACTGTGCAAATTGTTTGCATCATTAACTTCTTTACAACCTCAGTTTGTTTAAATTTTAGCAAGCGCTTCAAAAACAATGGCAAGAAAAGCCATTGCATGCAATGCTAATAACTTTTGCAAGCCGCTCTTTTTAATTTCTTTGTTTACTGAAGTGCTGCAGCAGATTCCTCAATAAACTTTGTTTAATGTGACTAACCAATCTCTCGAAATGAATGACATCACCCAGAAAATGACAGAAAATAGAGCAATGAAAGTAAGAAGGGTGAGAAAGGGAGGAGTATTACTCACTGCGGTTCTGAGGGAACACAAAGTGGTGGGAAAATGCATAGAGGGCATTAGATGTCCACTGTAAAACTCTTTTTTTTTTCCTGTTAAACTTATGGAAATTTTTGTTTAACTGATCTATTTATATTCCGTACCACAGTCTATTAGAGCCATTAGGTGGATGTCTTTTTTTTTCAAAGGGGTTAGGGTGTTGCTACAACACTGGGAACAATAATGTGTGAAACGCATCGCTACAGTTGGTGAGATTTAACACCCCATGAAACTATTCAAACCATGGCTGCACAGTTAGCGATAGTGACCACGATGGGATAACAATAAGATCAGAGAGGTTTTCATGCTCCAGTTGCAAAAGCATACAGATTATTCAAAATGCAAGTATAGAACATGTAATTTAAAGCTGGTAAGCTAGAAAAGACAGTAGCGTACTGTACTCCTTTGGTGGCTGGTCATTTCTTACAGTGTTTGGGACTAGTGTGTGTCTGTGTTTAGTCTGCGTGGTCTGTGTTTGTTCATTGTAGATTCCACTGTTGAGCGTTAGATTCCACTGTTGACAGTAAGTTTAAAGCTCCATGTCAAAATGTCCATCTGGGTGTTTAGTTCTGCGGTGCTCTCTGTGTCTCCTCAGTGGCAGCAAGGCTCTCTTTGAATCTGAGTGTCTCTTTTGGGTGTCACTTTGGTTGTTCTCCTGGGCCACTTGTGTAAAAAAGTGTTTTACTCCTAAAAAAAACGAAGGGCTGTGAAAGTTGAGCTGTAAGGCCAGGGTAAAAACATTACAAATATATTTTTAAGGAGCTGTCCAGCCATTTTGAAATGGGTTTCAGTGGAAAAGTTAGGAAAAATTCATACGTTAGAAATTGTAGTTTGCTTCTTGAACAGCCTATAGTTTTGAAAAATTGAGTTCACTCCCATCAGCACTGACAAGATAATGGCTGGTCTAAAAGCAACAAATATGTGTGGTGTCTTACAACAACTTGAGTCTCAAACATTTCTTAGCAGTTCATGACTCTTTCCTACCTGTTTTACAGGTTTTTCTGCTCCAACACATCTAATTTAAATTACTGGGTGATTAAAGTGCCTGTGACATCAAATCTTTGCAACAGGTATGAATGCACTTCTGGAAAGATAACAATGATAACACGTTGCAAGACAAATTTCATGCTGCTGAGATGAACAGCTGTTGAGATATTTGCATGTGAAGTAACAGGAAGTGATGTCAAATTGGAACGTCTGCATGTGAACTGAGAATTGCTAGAATGGACGACAACACAGCCTATACAGAAGAATCTGATGCTTCTTTAGATTATTTTAAGTCAGAGAGATGAAGAAGAGTCAGACTTCAAATCATACTGCTTTAATAAACAAAGACCAGGGTGTTCCCTTTCTTAAAGAGTTCCCTTTGATGCCACTTCCTGTTTCACTTTGGCTGAACCAAATTCAAAGAAAATATGCCAGTTATGTGACAAACTGGGTAAAACCCATGTTTCTTAAATATATAGATATTTTCTTTGTGTATTTGAAAGATATGCATGTCACGGGCACTTTCACAGGCTTCTGCAGAACTTGAAGAGGTAATTCAATCTGAATCAGGTGTGTTGGAGCAATATTGTGTGTGTGTGTGTGTATATGGTGTAAATATGGTGTGTGTGTGTGTGT